CCCCCCCCCCCCCCCCCCCCGGGCAAGTTCCAGACCCTTGAATTATTTTATCAACGGATATAAAGTGAACTGGTGCACGATCAAAGTTAAATTCATCGAACAGCTTCACCTGAGAAGATTAGCAGCTCTACTTTTCAAACTCTACGACAAAAGATGGTTCAGAACACTGGGATCTTGATTCTTTGCTTTCTTGCTGGCCACGTCTTGAGGGTCAGCGCATCGTACAACGAGTGTGAGGCTAAAGAATTTGGGAAGTGCAATCAAGTTTTCACGGATGTGTTTCAAAAAGCTGATAAAAACCAAAACGTGGTTGATATCTACTGTAAAGCCTTAAAGGTACCGTGTACATACAATAAAGTGCACGCTTAAAATTGGAGGGAAGCTAGACTGAGAAATTCCCTCGATGCACAGGAGAGTGCATGAAAGCTAGATTTTTCATAAAATAATAAACTTTAATTGTTGTTTTTTTCTTATTCAGGTCAGGGTAGAGTGCATGGCATCGAATACTGAGTGTGTTGGTGAAGCCATTGACCTAATGAGATTTGCTTTCCTTCAACATGTGACATTAGACACGACTTTGGGAACCTGCACCAACTTTGATCTGGAACCTTTGAGAAAACTTGTCCACGGTAATAAAATCATTTGTTACATAAGCTTGAATCTTTTTTCTTCTCTTCTCTTAATTTCTTTCTTTCTCTTTCATTTTCTAGCCAACGAAAAGTATCACACGATGATTGCTGGTTTAAAAGACCTTGGTAAGTTATTACTTAAACATACTTGCGTCAGTATTTGCGATGGTAATTAGCTTCAAAAGTGTCGAAAAGTACAGAAGCTGTTCCCGAAATTCCTGCCTCAGTTTGTCAAGTTATTTTTGGATTTAACGAAGTATGGCACAAACTCAGAAAGTGGTCTAGTTACACAAATGGGTATTTCAGTTATTAGCAGTTGTGTTAGAGTGAAATTAGTCAAATTGTTTAACAGCTGACTTCACCTAAATGAAATTAGCTCCTTTGCTTCAAGTCTAGATATTAATGACTAGATTCATCGTGGATTGAGCTTGGGTATACAAGTTACACCATATCAAAAATAATGGACGTTAGATGTTCCTACCCAAGGTAGCCCATAATGCACCATGTTCACTATCTCTGGAAAGGCCCAATTACAGATTTATCTTATTTCTATTTCAGAAAAAGACCACTTTCAACCATGCGCTGCCAAAAAGAATGTGTACTGTGCGTCCCGATTCGCAGAGGAGCTCAAGAGTGGCGCGAAACTTTGCCACGCTCTTCCAAACTTCTTCAAATGTTACGAATCCAAAACCTTGGTTTGCGATGACAAAATCTACAAGGATTTTGTTGTAGACGTTATAAGGACTGATTCAGAATTGAAGGAGTTTGTTAAAAAATTTCCAAACGCTATGCCAGGGTGTAGTTAGTCAGGCTAGTCGTCACGCAGTCTGTGACGTGTTTTATTTTGGCGTGACTGATAATGTATGAATGAGTAAAGTACAAAGTATAAGCAAACAGTTATAAAAGCCAATCAAAAAATCAAACGCTTAAAGATTCTTAAAATCCATTAAGAAAAAAATTAAAAGACTATAAAATAGACGACGTTTCGACGCTCCTTGGCGCCTTTATATATCATGAAGCCAAAAAAAGTCAAGGGGGG